CTAATAAAGCCAGGCGGACGCAGCAGGGAAAGGAATAGCAACGAGACGCGAAAAGAGTACAGGGCCCAAAGGCCATAGAGTGTGCGCCCGCCAGGCCGCACGGTGGAGAGGGGGAGGTCCGAGACGAGCCTGAAAGTAACCTTAGTCGAATCAGATCCGAAGCGAACCAAACGGAGATGGGCGAAATACACGCGCAAAAATCAATAGGCGACGCCAGAGGGGCAGTGTGAGCCCTAGGCTTACTGCCGAGGGAGCCTGGTTGCACCTTAGTACCCCACTCCCGTGACACCCCGCCCATCCGACCAGGGTTCGTCAGGCTAGCAGTGTCTGAGGCGAAAGTCGCCCAGAGAAAGGTAGATACAGAACAGGGGACGCGTGCAGGACACAGTATAATATGTGTCGTGCAGAGGTGCAGCAAGGTGACAAGATAATGATTTTCTTGTGTCGGTGGCTGCTGTGTGGCGTATAGTATTGCCCAACTGAGGGCTGCTAGCTTCACCTTGATGCTGTCTAGTAGGTCTATGGCGATATTGCTGTGGACGCTGCTCGCGATGCTGCCAGTGCTGTATCCGGTGCAGTATCCGTGAATGCCCATGCTGAGTCGGCCTTCGTGGTTTGCAATGAACTGTCAGGTTATGTAAATTTGCAGGGTGGAGCATGTGGGTCGTAGTTGGCTGTGTAGTGTGAGAGCTGCTTGTGTGGCTGGGTGTAGTGTAGTATCGGAGATGTCGCGTTGTAATGCTATGTTCCTGTTTGCATTGTGGAGAGAGGTAAGAAGATGCGTTGGGATGTCTTGTCGGAGATACTACGCGAAGAAGCGGTAGGGAGGAGTGCGTCGCCTGTGCTGCTATGTGGGTGAGTTGCACACCTCATCTGACCTCTTTGTGGGTTAGGCGTGTGATTGCGTAATCTAATGGTTCTGACCTCCAGGGTCCTAGCAAGAGAAGTTTGTTGGGCGACAATGCTGCTTGCCACTAGCGCTAAGTCGGCTGCTAGTTTTTCGGTACAAGTGATCTTGGGCCTGTTGTTGGCACTGCGTCTAATTCATCGTTGCTCTCATTCACGGTCGGTGCATGCTGTAGTGCATGCCTAGGTGGTGAGTGAGATGCTTCAGGCCGGTCACTAGGGCTCGAATTTATTGTGGCTTTGCGCTGCATTGCCAGTGGTTGCATTTCAGCAAACTGTTGGAGTGTTTCGTACTGTTCCGCTTTGTCTTGTTGCTGTGGTGTCGTCACGTGTTGAAGAGTGTGGCCCATGGGCAGTGAGTGTGTAGTCGCTGCTCCTCTGCGTTCTGGGGTTGGTGGCTGTGGTGCGCCTGTTGAGTATATCTTTGTCGGTGTGATGGGGGAGTGTTTGCTGCTGTGGTGCTCTGGGTGAGTAGTGCTCCGTTGGTGTGATTGGTGGCTTAGGTGATGAGTCGACTTGTAGTGGTGATGCTGGTTGTTGTGGTGGGCTTGGCGTGTGAGTAAAGTGCTGTGTTGGAATGCATGTCCTGGTGTGCGTCGTTGTGATGCCGTCCTTCTTGTCGTGGATGTCGTCGAGGTCGTCGCCTGTGATACTTTCGAGTTCGTCGTCTAAGCGATTGACTTCGGTTTCCTCTTGTGCTTGATGTAGTTTTCGACGTTGTAGTTCTTCTTTTTTTCTTCTTTTTCTTCTTCAATGCGTCTTTAGTTCTCGATATCGCGGTCGATGCGTATCGCTTCCTCGATGTTGTGGTCGAGGTCTGGCATTGGTTGATCTTGCCCCTGGTGAAGGTCGCGTTGCTTGCGCTCGTAGTCGTCTTTGCTTGCCGTAGTACTGTAATTAGCTCCGCTTGTCTCTCTTTGTACCCTTTTCCTGATTGCTTTTGTGCTACCATGTATTTGTGTAGAGCCGTCTGTTGGTGCTGTACGTATGCTTCGGTGCCTTGCTGGTATTGTTCTGCAGTGATAAGTCGCGGCTGGTAGTGCTGGCTGAGCAGTGATGAGTCGCGGCCCTTAAGTTGTGCCGTCGCGCCTGCCATTCCGTTGTATCTGGCGAGTAAGTTGCTCTGTGCTTGTTGGATTCGTCGTGCTGTTAGCACGGCTTCCTGTGCTGCGGCAATTTCATGGTCAAATGCAGCCTGCGCTTGTGCGCTTCGTGCTGCGTAGGGTGCGTTCTGCTCCTCGTGGCTTTGGTGTAGCTGTGCGGAACATCTGGGTCGTCGAGTTTCGCGTGGTAGCCTTTGCCCAAGAGAATATAGCATCTGTTCTGCTATCCGCATGCCTGGTTCATTGCTTTGCACTCTCTCTTTCTGCTGAAGGTTGTACTGCTGGTGGATGTGTTGAATTGGGTCCTGCATGCGCCCTTCTGTTGTTTGTTCAGCTTTCAGTATGTCCTGTGCGTAGCTGCTGCTTGTCGTGAGTTGTTGGTCTTGTCGTACAGCAGGTTTTTCTGGTATTTCTTGCCGTGGTTCTGCAATGCTGGCCTTTGACCCTTTGTGTGAGTGTCCCTGCTGGAGGTGTGTTGTGGCCTTTTGATCGTTCTGTGCTCGTAGTTGCTTGGTCTCTATGTTGTAATGTAGGGCCTGTTCCTTACGACCCTCTAGATGCTGATGTTCTTGCTCGTTCTGTCTTGTTGCGTGCTCGGCGTCGCGTCGTGCTTCTTCTCCTCGTATTGCCGTTGCTTTGCGGACTTGCATGCGTAGTTCTGTTTGTTGTAGTGCTTGGTTGTGCTCTCTTATCTAGCGGTGATCATTGGACAGGTGGTCGTTTGCTGCTTGTAGTTGTCGTAGGGTCTCTTCTGTTGTTTGTAGCTATAGTTGTGCTGTGACCTCCTTGTGAGTGTTTTGTTGAGCTGCTCTTAGTTCTGATATGGTCAAGTCATGTGCTTGGAGTTTGTCGTGTGCTTCCTTGGGTAGTGCTTTGAATTTCTGTGCCTCGTCGTCGGTATCGGCGTGAGGTGAGGTCGCTTTGAGTGGTACCAATGGTGGTCGCTCTCGAGGGTAGGTGTTGAGTTGCACGTCTTGTGCACGTTGTGCGCGTGGTTGTGGGCTGTGTGTGTGCTGCCTGTTGTCGATCAGCTCCTACTCCAGATTGGCGTACGTCTTGGTCTTATGGATGTTGTCCTCGTGCTTCTGCTGAGCTTGCTTCAAGGTTGCTGCCGATGTCTTGTGCAAGCTGTGTAGTCGTCGTTGGGCCCGTCGAGTGTACTGTAGTCTTTCAGGGTCTGGACCTTGGTCCAGTATCTGTCTTTTATGAATGCCAGTTCGTGACGTAGCTGGCCTGCCTGTTGTCCTGCAGTCTCCATTGCCAAGATCTGTGTCGCGAACTTCCTGAATTCTGCTGCCTTGGACGTATTCCATGCTCCTGCTTCGAGTGGTGTGTCTCCAGGCTTGTCTTTGTGTACGACGTCGTTGTGGCAAGCTTCTGGTTTGCTGTCGATCAGTGACAGATTCTATCATGTGGTGTATGCTGTGTGATCTGGGTCGCTGCCGAAGCTAGGTTGTGGTATATCGTCGTTTTTCTTTGTCGGTGTGGCTGGCGATTGTTTTGGTTTTGGTCTTGGAGTGGAGTTCCTCTGCTGTCTTGGAATCTGAGGCTGTTGCGTCCAGCATGGCGTGGTCGGCGCTGTTTGGTAGTATGTGCCGTTTTTTTGCTGCTGGTATAGTGGTTGTGCTACGTCTGTCGGAACTTGTTGAGCTGGAGGAGCGTATCCGCCGTGCTCGACAGGCTGCCAGGATGGACTTTCGCCTTTGCTGTCTTGTTGTCGATGTTGGTGTTTCCCCTTGCCTTTGCCGTTGGCTTGGGGAGCTTGTGTATGGCTGTTCATTGCGTCGGCTGGTTGTCGTGGCGGCTGCTGTGCGCTGTGGTGCTGGTTGACGAGTAGCTGTGCTGCTTGGAGCTGCTGGTGTGTAGGTTGGTCGAGTAGAGTTCGCGCCGAGGCTACCCGTAGTAGGGTGCGTGCTGCTGCACGCTTTTCCTTCTCCCCTCGGTGCCAGACAGGGTTGAGAGAAGTCGACGGAGTCATGGTGCTACTGGCTGCAGTGTGGGCGGGATCGTTGGCCCAAATGGCTGTGCTTGGGCGTCGATGCTGCTGTGAATGTGGCGAGGTCGGAGACTCATCCGTATCGTAGATCCTCCTGTCGACGCTGTCGTTGATGTGGTGATGTCGGAAACTTCACCTGGGTTCCCTGCGGAACCTGCGCTCGGGAATGTAATCGGTGAGAAAGAAGAGGGAATGCGGGAATGCCAGGGACTCTGATGTGAGATTCGCGTGGCCGTTCGGTCGGCGCGCTGCCACAGACACTCCTCAATCGTCTGGCGGTTTGTGGCTTCCTCCTCCTCCCTCCTCCTCATCCTCCTCCTCCCCCTCCTCCTCCTCATCCGCCTCCTCCTCCTCTCCTCCCTCATCCCTCCTCCTCCCTCCCTCCATCCTTCTCCTCCTCATCCTCCTCCTCCTCCTCCTCCTTTCCTCCTCCTTCTCTTCTCCTCCTCCTCCTCCTCCCTCCTCCTCCTCTCCTCCTCCTCCTCCTCCTCCTCCTCCTCCTCCTCCTCCTCCTCCTGCTCCTCCCTCCTCCTCCTCCCCTCTCTCCCTCCCTCCTCCCTCCCCTCCTCCTCTCCTCCTCCTCCTCCCCTCCTCCTCCTTCCTCCTCCCTCCTCCTTCCTCCCCTCCCTCCTCCCCCTCTCCCTCCTCCCTCACCCTCCTCCCTCCTCCTCCTCCCTCCTACCTCCCTCCCTCCTCCTCCCTCCTCCTCCTCCCTCCTCCTCCTCCTCCCTCCTCCTCCTCCCTCCTCCTCCTCCTGCTCCTCCTCCTTCTCCTCCTCCTCCTCCTCCTCCTCCTCCCTCCTCCTCCGCTCCTCCTCCTCCTCCTCCTCCTCCTCCTCCTCCTCCTCCCTTCTCCTCCTCCCTCCTCCTCCTTCCCTGCTGATGCCCAGCGGCGGGGTGCACCTTTTTTGCTCTCTCTCGGCAGGCACGGGGAGCAGCGGCGAGCCCGTGGACGAGCTCCTGCTTGACGGGCGGCCCCTCGACCTCGCCGCGGCGATGGAAGTGGCCGGCTCGCACCGGGCCACGGTCGCCCGCCGGGCCGCGTACGTGGCGGCGAGGCTGGCCCCCGTGCTGGCGCGAGGAGCGGTGCACTCCCAGGTGTCCTGCGGGCCGCGCTACACGCAGCGGACGGCCCTGAAGCTGCGCCTCGCCCTGCAGGACCTCGGCCCGGCCTTCGTGAAGCTCGGCCAGTGCCTGGCCGCCAGGGAGGACGTCCTGAGCGAGGTCGTGGCGCTGGAGCTGCGCAAGCTCTGCGATGCCGTGCCCGAGTTCCCCGCCGAGGAGGCGCGGGGGCTCCTCGCCCGGGAGCTGGGGGCGCGCGCCCCCGAGTTGCCTGCGAGCCCGCTAGCCGCCGCGAGCCTCGGCCAGGTGTACCGCATCCGCCTGGACGGGGCCGACTACGCCCTGAAGGTGCAGCGCCCTGGGCTGCGCGCCCTGCTGGCGGTGGACATGGTGATACTCAGGGGCATCGCGAAGTTCTCGCGACTGCTGGTTCGAAGGCTCTGCGCAGCCACCATGGACCCAGTCGATGTAATCGAGAATTGGGCAAAGACTATGTGGGCAGAGCTGGACTACATGCAGGAAGCCCAGGTCATGGAGGACATGAGGGGCAAACTATGCCCCGTAGTGCCGGATCTGGTGATCCCTCGCGTGCTCTGGAGGCTGACGTCTTCGCGCGTACTAGCTACAGAGTGGGTGCATGGCATCAAAGTGACCGATCGGCCGCAGTGTGTCACTTCCGATCACATCTCGGTAGGCGTGGAGGCATACGCTGCGATGATCGTCGATCTAGGTATTGTGCATGCCGACCCGCATGCTGGAAACCTGCTCATCACAGAGCCAGGTGGTAAGGTATGCCTTCTCGATTTCGGCATGGTTGTCGAGGTGCCTGAACATCACCGGCTTGTGTGGGCCCAGTGCGTCGTTGACCTGGTTCGCGGGAACTACCCGAGAGTGCTGGATTGCCTCATTGGCCTCGGCTTCTTTCCCCCAGACTGTCCGCGCGAGGTCATCCTCCCAGTGATGTCTAAGATCTGGGCCGAACTGGTGGCCTGCGGCAGCGACACGAAGAAGCGGAAGGACGCAGTGAGGACCTGCTTCGAGGAGATCAAGGTCTTGGTGCGCAAGTTCACCTTCGACGTCCCCGACTACTACCTCGCGCTGGCCCGCGCCCTCCTGACCCTCGAGGCCCCCCCACCCACGCCCTGCCCGCGACCCCAACCGGCTTCGGACCAGTCCCTGGGCCCTCCCGGGGGTCCATCCTGTCCAGTCTCCTCCGCGGCACCGCAAGGGGCTCATCACTGACGGGTACTGCTTTGAAACTCTGCCGGAAGCTGCCTTTTTAGGACCTCTTTCTGGCATGGCAGCGTTGCTCACATCGGGAAGGGTTGGGTTCGCCGGGTCACTGGCCAAAGTACCCGTTAGTGGAGCCCCCGTTAGAGGGGTGCTGATTTCCTGAGCAGCGTCCCGCCTTGCGACGAGAACGCCCAGGAACGTCGAAAGACCTCCCAAGCGATGGCGACGACGCTGCCATTTCCTGCCCCTCGAGGGCGTCGCCCTGACCGCCAACTGCGACTTCGATATCTTCGAGGCGGTGTTTCCACTCGCCACCGTCGTCGCGTTCGCCGTTGGCGTCATCTCCGTTGTCGCCGTCGCCGTCGCCGTCGCCGTCGCCGTCGCCGTCGCCGTCGCCGTCGCCGTCGCCGTCGCCGTCGCCGTCGCCGTCGCCGCCGTCGTCGTCGTCGTCGTCGTCGTCGTCGCCGTCGTCGCCGTCGTCGCCGTCGCCGTCGTCGTCGTCGTCGTCGCCGTCGCCGTTGCCGTCGCCGCCGTCGTCGTCGCCGTCGTCGTCGTCGTCGTCGTCGCCGTCGTCGTTGAGGCGGCGTTCCCCGTCGCCCTGCGCGCCGTCGGCGTGGGCGGCGCCGCCCGCGGGGCCGCGGCGGCCACCGGCGCGCTCCTCGCGCAGCCGCTGAGCTGCAGGCGGCGCTGCGCGCCGGTGGTGGCGGCCGTCGCCCGCTCGGCGGCGCGGCGGGCGGCGCGGCGGCGCGGCGCGGCGGCGGCGGCGGCGGCCGCGGCCACGGCGGCGTCCGCGCTGGCGGTGCGCTCAGCGAGGGGGGCGGCGGCGGCGGCGTTGGGAGGCGGCGGGGGGCGCGGCTCGCTCGCCGCGCCCGCGAGGCGCGGGCGCTACAGTGAAGACGCATACACCTTAGGCGATGCTTAAGAAAACTTGAATTTTCGGCCAGAGTCTCGATTATTCTTAACGTTGCAATGTAAATCCTAAGATTTGAACGGAAATGTAGGGTTTTTATTCAAGTTCTGAGACTATGAATTTCTTAACCCATGAATTCTTAAGCATTTCGCGGGGTGTATTGAGGACGGGCGGTAAAAGGACGCAAGACCCTTGGAGGCCGAAGTCGGCATTTGTTGGGCGGCGGGCGACCAAAACCCCAGTGGACACGGCAAAGGGCGGGCCGCAGAAGCAAGGACACAGGGGTACCTACCCTAGAAAAGGCGCGCGTCCTTACTATGCGCTCTGGGGCGTTCTCCGCCTTCTCTCCACCCTCCGTCCCGTTCACTGCCCCATCTAGTGTGTACAGTGACGACCCATGCCAAGAAACATCCCGCTTGCCTCCAGGGTGCCCTGGGTTTCTTGGGTTTCGATAGTTCTGCTGTGGAAAGCGTGACGTGCCCACACCCGAAATCAATGGACGTCCTGGGGTCTCAGGGTTGGGTTTCTTGTGGAAGGTTTCTTGCGGACTGGCCTCTACTGTAGCGTGTATGTCTTGCTTTCGAGGCTGGTATCTGTGCAGCAGTGCTTCTCTGCAGCATTCACGGGCTGGGTGTTCGGATGTATGGCCTCGGCAGGCATACGGTCGAACACTGGGGCCAGTCTTGGTTTCTTCGAAGAATTCAGGAGGTTTGTGTGGGTGCCCTTTTTGGGGCCCTTTGGGGACATCTTGGTGTCCTCGGGAGGGTCTTGGGGCCGTTTCGACGGCCTCGCGCGGTCTGGGGGGGATCTTGGGGCCTTCTTGGGCTGGTCGTTGGCCGTCTTGGATTGGCGGCGAGGGAGGGGGGGCAATGAGAAGGAGAAGGCTTTCTCAGAAAGCGGCGGGACTTCTCAGAAGCCCTCGCGCCTTCTGATAAGTTTTTTATCTGTCTTCGGGGAAGGCTTAGAACACTTCTCCGAAGGCTGGGGGACTTCCGAACCTTCTGAGAAGGCCTTCTCCTTCTCACTTCCCCCCCCCGCTCGCCGACGAATGGAGGCTGGCAAAGGGGCCTCTGGGTTCATCTTGAGGCCCCCTTGGAGGCCTCTTGGGCCGTCTGGGGTCGCTCTGGGGCCCATCTGGGGACCTTCTTGGGTCGATGAGTCCAGGCTGCTAAACATACGCGAACATCTTAGGGCTCTTTCGGCAGCAACTCATATGAGCCTAATTTGTCCTCGCAATTCCGTCTTCAGAGTGCATTAGCGCTCGCAAAAGCGTCTTGTAACCGATGAGAGCGCCGACTTATCGTCGATCAGCGTCGATTTGGTATCGACTACCGTCGAATTGCATCGATCAGCGTCGTTTAGCTCCGATTCGCAAGAGCCAGCAAGATGACATGCGAGGCTCCCATGGTTTGCCACATGACAGTTTTTGAACATTTTCTGTCCGTCGGGGGACCCGCGCGGGACAATTTGGGAGCTTCTCGTGATCTCGTGGGGCCGTCTTGGGACCTGTTTGGACCTCTTGCGTTGCCATGGACCTCTTTTGCTGTCGTGCGGGTCTCTTGGGCTGTCTCTCCAGCTGTCTCTTGGAGGTCTTCTCGAGATCTCATTGGACCTCTTTGCGCTGTCTTGGAGGTCTCTTGCGCTGGCTTGGATGTCTCTTCGATGTCTTGGACCTCTTGCGCTGTTTTGGAGGTTCCTTGGAGGTCTCCTGGGCTCCTCCTGGGCCATCTTCTGGGCGTCGTCACCTCCCAGCAAGCTCGGACGCTCCCTGATGACCCCAGAACCCTGTCAACGCTTCGATTTTGGGTGCCGTAGGCCAGACCCCTTCGCGTCGTGGCGACGTGAGGTTGTTTCGGGATTCGGGGGACTTATGATGCCAAAGGACTGTCAAAAACGATTTAGATTGAGAGTTGGTTCCAGGCAAAGTTTGTCGAGACATCTGGAGGCTGCGCGGGGAAATAACTGATGAGGTCGGGGCCTGGAGGGGCTATGGGGGAAGAGTCTCACGCCTAGTGGCTCCAAATGAGTCACCAAGATCGAGGGCCAAGTTGGCTTTGACACTTGGAGGGGGTGACTCCTGCATGCGCACAGACATTCCGACTGGTCCCCTTCCGTTCGTCTTGGCTTGCATGGGATGGACCGTAGGTGCGCGAAGCGTGCGTGTGGCTCTACAACACGCAGCGTGCACGATCTCGCAATGCTGTGGCAGCAGCAGCACCGGCACTCTGGGATGGCGCCGCCGGCGGCGGCGCGCTGGGCACGGTGGGGGGTCCCAGATCGATGATCCCCAGGACGCGTGTCAGCCCAATAACTGCGCAGATAATGTGTGTGTTACCCCGTTCGGCTCCACCGACAGATCACTGCACCGCTTGCGCCGCAGCGAAGGGCTACGGTGGACAAGCGCTCGTTGGCGTAACCACATGTTCAGAGGAGCTGTGACCAGATCGGCGTTGCTTTGGCCCTTGGCCGAAAGGTCCCCGACGATGATGATGATGATGATGATGATGATGATGATGATGATGATGATGATGATGATGATGATGATGATGATGGTGATGGTGGTGGTGATCGTGATGCCGATTGTGATGGTGATTGTACTGGTGATGGTGATGGTGATTGTGATGATGATTCTGATCAGTATTATGACGATGATGATGATGATGATGATGATGATGATGATGGTGATGGTGGTGGTGATCGTGATGCCGATTGTGATGGTGATTGTACTGGTGATGGTGATGGTGATTGTGATGATGATTCTGATCAGTATTATGACGATGATGATGATGATGATGATGATGATGATGATGATGATGGTGATGATGATGATGATGCTGATGGTAATGATGCTGATGTCAATAATGCTAGTGCTGATGATGGTGAAGATGATGATGCTGCTGATGATGCTAATGATGATGTTGTTGTTGTTGATCCTGTTGCTGTTGCTGCTGGTGCTGCGATTGTTGCTGTTTTTCCCGGAAAGGGCATAGGCCCAGGGTTCTCTTTTAGTATGTAAACATGTCCCCGGTGCCCAACTTGAAGGAGGCCGGCGGATTCTTTCCCTGATAAATATCGAGGTCGAAGGAGGCCGGCGGATTAAAATTTGAGGATGTCTCAGGCGAAACGCTTGTTTTTTTTGAATCCCGATCGATAAATCACAGGGTGCGGGACACCTCAGCACGACCACACCCCCAGCATGACCACACCCCAGCACGACCACGCCCAGCACGACCACGCCCCAGCACGACCACACCCCAGCACGACCACACCCCAGCACGACCACACCCCAGCACGACCACACCCCAGCACCAGCACGACCACACCCCAGCACCAGCACGACCACACCCCAGCATGACCCGATCGATAAATCACAGGGTGCGGACCACCCCAGCACGACCACACCCCAGCACGACCCCACCCCAGCACGACCCCACCCCAGCACGACCACGCCCCAGCACGACCACACACCCCAGCACGAGACCACACCCCAGCACGACCACACCCCAGCACGACCTCACCACAGCACGACCACACCCCAGCACGACCACGCCCCAGCACGACCACGCCCCAGCACGACCACGCCCCAGCACAACCACCCCCCAGCACGACCACCCCCCAGCACGACCACCCCCCACAGACACGCACCACCACCCCCAGCACGACCAGCCCCACACACCACGCCCCCAGCACGACCACAGCCCCAGCACGAACCACTCCCCAGCACGACCACACCCAGCACGACCCCACCCCAGCACGACCACACCGCCTTGGTTGAGTGGTTGCCTGTAGTCGTGGAATGTTTCGTGGGGTGTCTCGTGGAATGTTTCGCGGGGTGTCTCGTGGAATGTTTCGTGAGGTGTCTCGTGGAATGTTTCGTGATGTGTCTCGTGGGATGTTTCGTGAAGTGTCTCGTGGGATGTTTCGTGAGGTGTTGCCCAGTTGGGTATCGTGAAAACGTGTCCATGCTCCACATGTCTATATCCCTTTCCGGGTTCGTGGGTCCATCATGTTTGTTTTTGTTGATGTTGTTGACGATGTTTTTGTGTGTTATTGCTGCTGATGTTGTTGCTGCTGTTGTTGCAGTTGCTGTTGTTGCTGTTGTTTGTGTTGATGTTGTTGTGTTGTTGTTGTTTTTGATGATGATGACGGCGACGATGACGATGACGATGACGATGACGATGACGATGATGATGATGATGATGATGATGATGATGATGCTGATGATGACGATGATTACGATGACATGATGATGGGGATGATGCTGATGATGATATTGATGATGCTGATGATGATGCTGATGCTGCTCCGGATGGTGCTGATGACTGATGATCGATTCTGGGGCTGATGCTGATGATGGTGGTGATGCTGATGATGATGATGATGATGATGATGATGATGATGATGATGCAGTTGCTGCTGATGATGATGCTGATGCAAAT